AAAATCCTTCGCAATTTAAGTTGAGCGAGTCTCTTCTCCAACTGCTCGATCTCGCAATCGATCGAAGTTTGTGCGGATAATGCCTCCGCCAGCCTTCAACTTCGAGTCTTCAAGAAATTTGATTTTTAGCCTGGAAGGAAGCAATATCGGTGAGCTTGGTCGAAATCGATTGTTTTTTCTTCCTCGCCGCATATGCCTTATTGAACAAGCTCGGCAGCTCGCCGCGACCTCCGCATCGAGACCCCTTGGAAGATCTTCATCGTGGCACGTCTCGAGGGCGTAATAATATCCCGGAACTCGTTTTTTCTTGTCGCGTGACTCCACTAAAATTTCAAGGGGCGAGGAATAAAAGAAAGATCGAAGCGTTGCTTCAGCTCGGTATGGTCCTTCGCAGAAGTCATGGGCGTCTTAGAAGAGCTCGACGGTGTCGCTTCCGTAGATAATAGAATATCGAGGATAGAAAAGGGTCTTCTTCGATTGCGGCTCGATATTCTAGCGCAAGTGCTCGGAGCAGGCACATCTATCTCTGGTAATGACGCCGAGAGCAACTCGATAGGGGGCATCGCAAAAGGAGGAAAATCCTCTTGCTCCGCAGAAACAGGGGAAGGAGAGCCTTGGACTTCGATTATTGGAGTATTTACTGAAAAGAAAGAAATCGAGAATGTAAGATCGAGAGATTCATAATAGAATGAGATGAAAAAGTGACAATGAAAAGTATAAATACCAGGGGGAGGTAGAGCAAGTGGTGCCGAGGTAGGAGGAAGAATCATGCAGGCCTCAAAGTTGCTGTAGAATCGAAAACCATCGTCGGAACAAGAAATGCACAAAAAGTAAAAGCAATCATACAATGATATGTAAGATACCTCGGTGAGGGGTGTTAATAGTTGGGATTCGACATTCGTTGATACAAGCCTCCGATGGAAGATCCCGAAAATTAAATTTTGAAACCTTGTTACAAATTTTATCGAGACTTAAGAACATAGAATTTGTATAGAGAAGGAAACTTACGTGATCGGAACGGGTAGCAGTGTGTGTCGTGGGGATGGTATTAGAGTCCGTCGATAATGGATCAAGAGCAACCGGTCGAACGGATCGAGGACTCTTCGATTTTTGTTTCTGAAAATGGAAGATCGAAAAAAGATAAGTATAAGAATAAGGATCGATCAAACAGAGAAATAAATAGGACAAGACAGAAGTCAAAATGAACCTTCGATTTTTTCGAAGAAGTAGGAATGGTGGCCGAACGTCTGCGTTTTCTGATCAAGGCTGATGGGTCCGATTCACCCGAGGATCCCCAGTCCTCTTGTCCCTTATCTTGACCCTTCTCGACAGCGGAGACCTTAGTAGATTTCGAAACTGCCAATAAAAGAAGATGGATTAGCTCATAATATACAGAATCAAAAAAGTATAAGAAAGTAGTAAACTCTCACCAAAAGGTGATGGAGTCAAGATCTTGACTCGGTCGATATGTACAAGCCAGTGGAGGCAAAAGAGCCTCGTGGAGGTTAAGGTAAGGGAAATAAGATAATTTCGAGACAGAAATATCTTTGTGTTTGGGTTTTGGGCGACGTGTTTCCCGAGGGTTCTCAACTCTCGAACCCATTTTGGATGAGTTAATGGTTTGGCAAGTCCAAAAGGAGTCATGGGAAAAGTTGGAAGGCGATTTGGACAATACATTTCAAAAGGAGTTCTACCTAAAGGATTGATTATTTTGTGGTTCGATCGATTAATGTCCGTTTTATTGGATAAGGAGATAACAAGCATCATAATAGGTCGATTCTAATTTCAAGTGGGGTGTAACATATTTGATAAAAGTTCTCGAATCGAGATATTTGAAGACAAGTGGAAGTGTGTACCTTTCTTCGATTTTGACTTGTCCTCGCAACACAAGAGAAGGTTGAGTAGTCGGTTCGGCGAACTTCATCAAAAGTAGCATGACTACTCAAGAACCAACCGGCCCACCATTGAGAAAAACCCACAAGTAGATAAATAATTCGAATCGAAAGCATAGGGGTAAAAGTGCATCTGGGTTTTAGGTAAAAGCTTGATAAGCTCCCGATTAAGTGAAGATTCGATTAATTTGGACTTGGGGGATGTATCGAGGGGGAAGAAAGGTAGGGATTGGCTTAGACCAAACTGCCTCGAAAGAAATTGCGGGTAATAAGTAATAAACTTGAAATCCTTAGGCCGAAAACCCGATAATAATATATCATGGGTCAAATAACTACTCCATATGTCGACCAACTCCAATTGTAACCCGGAGACGAAGCTGGGAATTTTGACTTAAACCAAACCGGTCCCCTAAGTTGACCATTTATTTGTCCAAGATTTACGGTAAACTGGGCCAAGGTCGAATCAAAGGAGGATCTAGTCAACAAAAAGTGGAGGTATTTACAATAGGTAGCCTCATCAGCCTTTTGGCGAGGATGGCGGGAGGATAATCGGGCCCCTTCTATATTTACACTTGGAGGAACAGTAGAAATCCGAGGAAGGATACTTTCAAATATCGAAATTAACCATAATTGAATAAACCAAACAGGGTCGAAAATTCCCCGATGCCTTAGGGGTACTCAAAATATCGACAGCTTCGTCGAAAGCAAGTATATACATGTGCTAATAAAGTTTTGGCTAAACAAAGTCTAGGGTGGCCTAGGTGAAGGAGATATGCAAGATTGAACAAATGGGGGGAAATTTGGATTGAACGGGGGCAAAAAACATGGGTACATAACCAATACACCAAAAATGCTACGTGTTCTTCGTCAGTAACTGCTATCGAGGGGTCATCAACAAAGTGTTTCTCGAGAAAATGTCCATAGGCCTTCGACTCCCAATCAATTTTCGACCTCAATGAATTATCTCGAGGATATGCACCGGAAAATACCTCTCCCCTATGGGTTTCAACCCGATAATAGCAGACTACCTCGAAAAGGGTGGGCGACACAGGGCCACAAGGCAACTCCAAAACATGTAGGTCTTGATTCCATAAATGCACTCGCAGATAAGAACATCGCCATGTCCAAATGAGACAGTCACATCGGGACGGTGCAAAAATCGAAAATACCAGTACTCCTCCAAGTGATCCCCAAACTTAGCCTTGACACTATCAAACCATCGAATATACGAGAGGCTTTTTGGAAGGAGGGTCCGTTCTATACACTTTAGAAGTAAGATTCGTAAAATCAACCCTAACTTCAGGTTGATGAACCAAAGCCGACTAGTTGAGAGGTTAAGAGGAGTAAAAATGTCATCGATAGGACGGAGAGGACCCCCAAAAGCAAAATTTACCCCTTCAACAAGTATAAGGAATAAGTACCGCGTCTCAAGCAATCTTACGGAAGCCTCCTCCATCGGAGGAACTCGGAGCGAACCTCCGGTTGTTAATCTCCGACAGAGTTAGATGGCGATGAAGAAAGGGGTGGAGCAGTAAAAGTCGAAGATTTTGATGAGCTGGCCATTGTAGTGAATTTAGGAAAACAGAAGGGAAGAGTTAACGGATGAGGTAATAGGAACGAAGGCAAGAGCTCAAGGAAGAAGATGAAATTGCACAGAAGGTAATGGTTCGCGTAAAAACCAGAGTGAAGACTAAGGGAGAGGTTAAGGGTAAATCGTATAGGGAACTGGAACGATGGAGGTGAAAGGCAATAAATGCAGCGTACTGTGAAGGCAACAGACTGACGAGACAACGACATAAAGCAAAAAGAAACCCACAACCCTTTTAAAACCCTAGAACCCCGTAAACCCTAAACCCTAAATCCCGTGGGCTTTCAAACACTAAGGTGGGAATATTGAAAGAATATAAAACGAAATCATTTATATTCTTCCAAGGGGGCATTTTGTTAGTGGCAAATCGAGAAAAGCGATCGAAATCGAAAGGAAGAAATATGACTCGATAAGATAAACAAAAGTTCATTCGATGTCTAATTAGAAATACGTAAGCATATAGCATCGAGAAACACAATCGAGAATCGAATGAATTGTAATCAAATGACTGTTGTCAAATAAAAACTAAGTCATATAAGATCAGGATTAAAAAGGAATCGTGAGCAATTCGAAGTTCTCGAAAGATATAGAATCGAGAATAAAGAAAGTCAATGGGGACATCGAGATTTTGGCCAAATCGTGAAGGGAAGTAAGTCGAATGCACGTATAGAGAGCAGCTTTGAAATCATGGGTAAAAGTTGAAGATCGTGAGATCGTGGGAAACTAGAAGATAAATCGCCATACGCACGTAGAACGTGGTAGCAAGTCGTATTAACTGCTCTTAGAAGGCTTGAAGGATGCCCTATAAATAGAAGCAAAGAAGGAAGGAACAAAAGGGGGGAGCAAAATTGGCAGAGCGCGTAATCGGCGAATGAAACGTCTACCGGAGGAACGACGAACACCATGAAGTTTCGGCAATCTGGATTTCCCGCTCACTGAGTACATTTATCGCTTTCTTTATTTTCCTTGGTAATTTACTTTCGAGCCATTTCAATTCAAGCAATTTCATATTCTTGTATATTACATTCAATGTCATTTCGATTTCCTGTTATTTACTTTTTATGCAATCTTAATGGGTTTTAGCAATTTACATTTCCCGCACATTTCGATTTCCTGTCCTTTATTTCTCTTGCAAACTTAATTTCTTGCAAATTTGGGGTTTTCGCATTTTCTTGCAATTTAATACTCTTTTCTCGATTCGATACTTTACTGCTTTGTTTGATTCGAGCATTTTAGACATAAAATACTAAAAATAGTATTTCTCGATACTTATAGTTTTCGACTCTCATACACATTTTCGATTGAAAATCAAATTGCTAGCCTAAGTAAAAAAGAACTTACATGGTAGAATTTCGATTAGGACCAAAATACCCTTAGGATCGAAATCGATCAAAATTCCACCAGAAACAAGGAGAAAGAGATTTTTCTTGGATTAAAAAGTAATTCACATTCAAATTGATCAATTTATAACTATAAATTCTAAAGCCAAAGCAGACCAGTAGCCTAGAAGAATAGGATTCATGGACAACATACCAAAACATATTGGATTCCACATCCAATTACTTGGACGAATTGATGAAGAAGGTGAACTCGATTTAGTTTTAAGAATGCCTTTTGTCTCGGCATTAGCGGTGGCAACGTGGACAGGCCTGCAGGCCTGCGGGCCTGCTCGCAAGCCCATCCTAAAAAGTATGACAAGATAGATATTTTAACGTCTTCGTCTAGGCTCGAATAATCAGTTGTCTAGCAGGTCAAATCGGGAAATGCAACAGCAAAAATATCATATTTTTAAATACTAAAATTGGTAAGTTATCAATAAAATTCTCGCGGCCTGATTTTATAGTTTAACTAAAATGAATAAATCTAATCTTCTATTTTTAAATGGGTTATAATTTTTTTTACTTGATTTTGAAATATAAACTTTTTTTTATTTTAAATAGATCATAATTTTTTATTTAACTTGATTTTAGATAAAAAATTAATAGGTTAATTTTAACTTGATTAAAAATTAAAAAATTTATTAATATATTTATATAAAAAATTAATTAAAAAATATTTGAATAAAAACTAAAAATATATTTTAAAAATTTAAATTATATTAATAAAATTACTTTTATTTTAAAAATAATGATTTAACATATAAATTATAAAATAAAAAATCTATTTAATCTAAAAATAAAAATTAAAAAATTACTTATTATTATTATTAATTTTTTCAATAATTTATTGATTTAAAATAATAATTTATTTTAATTATTAAATCATAAAATAAGTGAATGTTAGAAAAAAATTATATTTATTTTTATAATAAATTTTAAATTAATTTATAATATATATATATATATATATAAATATAAAATAATAAAATAATTAATGTTATTGTTATTTTTATTTAAAAAATTATTATTATTTTATAAGACAAACTGATCATAATTTTATGAGTCAGTCTGAGATAAGTCTATGTAAATTATGAGCGATTGAATTTTTTTTAATTTAATTTAGGTTATAAAATTTTTAATCTAAATTAATCTATTTTTTAAATATTTTATTATTTTTTTCTTAAAAAATATTATTATTATATTTTATTTATAAATTAAAATTTTAAACAGATAATGTAAAAATGATATTTTTATTTCATAGTATATTAATAATAATATTTTATTTTTTAATTATTACACAGATCCAAGAAATCAGTAAATTTTGTGTCGAATATCCAATTTCCACTTCAGTTCTGGTAGTTCTTAGGATATGTTGTTTTCGTAGGATCAAGGGAGCAACATTGCAATACGGTTAAGAGTTTAGACAATTTCTTAGTTTCAAGTTTGAAAGACCACAAAAATGAGCTTAAAAATCTTTAGGTTTTAATTCAGCTGGCCCTAGGCCTCGGATTGTACAGGTAATCGAAGAAAGCCCTAACCTAACCACACTGTAGCCCACACAGGTTTAGAGATCTCTATGCATACTACAAACTAATTATTAATGAAAAATGTATTTTTTATATCAGTTTTTTTTTAATTTGCAATTAAAATAAAATAAACTTTTTCTTTGTCGTGAAATTTGTTTTATATATTTTTTAAAAATTTTGTTTTTCATGCATGTGTCAGGGCTTTATTTTAAACAACTATAATAGTAGTAACACTCTATCCTTTTGGTATTTAACGATCATGTGAGTTACGATAATATTATTATTATTATTGTGACTATTTCTAATTTTGGATGTTTCTTTCTAATTGGATTTGAGTATTTAAGCATCTATTATATAATTATGGTTAATGTTTTATGTCTCTATTTTTTTTTTTATTGAAGTTGTGATTGTATTTTGGATTTCAATTACAATAATACATTAATGTTTTCATAGTTCTATTAAGCAAAGTCGAAGGATAAGGGTCACGTAGCGTGAAATCAAGAATTACATGATAGTAAAATTCAAACTACCTTAATGATTTTTTTTATCCTATCAAGAACAGACATAATATTAAGAACAAAATGTACTCTTTTACATGAAAGGAGTGAATAATGTGATTTAATTGAATCTTGTTCTTGGAAGTGTTAGAAAGATAAATGGGAGAGTAAATAAAGAAATTAAAACCTCGTTGAAAAAGGTTTTGGACAACAAAGGAGAGAAAATACAAAAATGAATATACGATTAACTAATCTAAAAAAAAAATTGAGACATAAATTTATATCGAATGATATATAACATATATAAATTTACGTGGAATATGTACTATTTTACATAAAATTAAAATTACGTTGATGAATTAATCTGTATTAATATTAATAGTGATAAAAAATCTTCGTTGAATATTAATACATGGATTTGGGTTGAGCACAAATCTGGAACCTACGTAAAATCATAATCAGCATATATGAATTGATTGTCATGTCAAACGACGAATAACATATTTGAAATCACTAGAAATGAAAAAGGTGCTCCGTGTTCAAGATTGGTTTAGTTCTTTTTATTGCAAATATTTCATTAGACAATTCCAATTAGGTCAATTTTGGTGCAGCTCCATATTATTTTGAATTTAAAACTTTAAATACAAGATTATTTACAATTTAATTCGATATATATATATATATATATATATATATATATATATATATATATATACAATTTTTCTAAGAAAAACATAAAATTGATAACTAAAAAAAAGAAAAAAAATCATTAAAAAATAAAGTTGACAATTGTTAAGGTGATATTAACATGAATGTTCATTTTGTTGTATGTGAAGTGGAAGAAAAAAGTTAGATATGTGTTTGATTGTCATTATATATCACAATTATTAAATTTACTAATTATTTTAGCATTTTGTAAAATTAAATTTGTGATTAACAAGCATATAAATGAAGAAATATCTATATGAAGCTTGTTATGAGAAGGAAATTTGTATGGATTAATGAAGCAAAAAATGTAAAATTTAAATCAAGGTTGAATGAGTATACAAAGTGATGAAGATCATTACAAACAGAGCCAATGTTAAGGAAAACCAGAACATAAATAATACTACATTTATGTTATAAGGATTCCATTCTCTTAGTTGAACCCACCCTCGTTAATTTCTAATTTCATTTTATGATGTATTCTCCCCATGCATGTTCTGGTAAGTTTTGTAGTAACCTCCGCCCAAGTTGCCACCCATTTCATTACCTTACCATGTTCCAACATCGTTTTTAACCCTTAAAACTCATGTCCTTGCTTACTACGAAATATTATACTGGTTTTTATTATCTAGACTTTCTAAGACAGATAGAAGCCAATGTGAAAACAAAACAAGGCATGTGAAAGCAACCCAACAAGGCATTTGGCTCACTGATAAATCGAATTTCTTCATAAAATCCGTCCAAAGTGTTGCCAGCTATGTGGCATTCACTATACAACAAAAATGGTGGAAGAGCATATTAAGGGAGTCTCATCACTCCAACTGAGTTGATAAAGATGAGTTTCAAGAGCAGCCCTAAAATTCAGCACAAGGGAGACTCTCCTTTCCTGTCTAGGCAATCATCCAACTCTAGTTTTAGGACCAATCCACAGAAGAATGCTGAGCCACGTATTGTGGGGTGCTGTGGAGGTTTCGGCAATGGTAAGACAATGGGGTCCTCTGCTTCCACATCTCCACAACATCCAAACCACCCACAGTACCTAATATTGCAAGAAAAGGTACCTAATATACACGTTATAGAATAATCTCACATTATATTAACCTTAAGATAATGACAATAAAAGTCAACAAACTTACACTATATAAGGGTGTATAATGACAATAATGTAAAATTTTACACTCTTAACTTCTTTGTTTTCTTTCCTATATATATGGTATAATAATGACGTTATAGAGTAATTATCTATGGTAACGTAGGTGGGAGATTTGGTGAAGGAGGTGCAGAAGCAAACAGAACAAAAAGTGATGTACAAGAAAAGAATGGAAAGGACACAAGACTACTTGAGATACTGTCTTCAGATAGCACAAGAAAATGGAATATTGGATCTCATTCTCAACTCAAAAGGTCAATTTCAACAATCTCCACTCTCTCTCCACGCCATTACCAGCCCTCAAATTCCAATTCAAAGTCCCTCTACTCCACCACACCATGCCAACCACCCCGATCTAGCCCCCATAATTCATCAAGCTAAAATCAATGGCTGGTATATTCATCCAAATGAGGTAAACACAACTTCAACCTAATCAACTTCATCCAATGTTCCACTCAATAATCTCAACATTTCTGTTTCGTGTACTCGAGATTGAATTGGAAGAGAAAATCGGGGAAGGAAGCACCGCAGAGATTCACAGAGGAACATGGCGCGGATTTGAGGTCGCAGTGAAGTGCATTTCGCAAGACTTTTTCCGCACAAACGCCAACGGCGTCGTTTACTTCTCCCAGGAACTCGAAACGCTGTCGCGGCAGCGCCACAGGTTTGTGCTTCAGCTCATGGGCGCGTGCATCGACCCTCCCTGCCGCGCCTGGGTGGTCACCGAGTACCTGAGCACCACGCTGAAGGAGTGGCTCCATGGGCCTGGGAACCGGCGCAGGGAGCGGAAGGTGCCACTTCCACCCTTCCAGGACAGAGTGGGCCGGGCCTTGGAAATAGCCCAAGCCATGCAGTACTTGCACGAGCAAAAGCCCAAACTCCTTCACCGCGACTTGAAGCCCAGCAACATTTTTCTTGATGACGCCATGCACGTTAGAGTCGCCGATTTCGGCCATGCGCGGTTCTTGGGTGACCAAGAAATGGCCCTCACTGGAGAAACAGGTAAACAACACCACTAAATACTCTTTCATACAGATTGGAAGTTAGAATTGATTGAAAATAAATATATTATGGGTATCATGTTTTTTATATAATGAATCTTTTTTTCTAATTTATATTAATTTCTAAACAAAGTCATTGTGTTGGTCTTTCGAGTAGATTTTCGTAAGAGAGACAACACCAGTATACATGAACCAAATTAAGATATTATGAGTTATATTTTGTTATATGTTGTTCAATTTTTTTTATTCGAGTTAGAATTCTAAAACACGAGTGATTGTGATAGCTCCATGCAATGTTATAAATTTGTGTTATAGATATTACGAATTACATCCCTCATCATTGGACTAACCCAATTGGGTCGTCTTGCATTTTACCGCCTCTGGTGTTCTTTCTTCGAGTGTTCGTGTTTGGTCATGATCCTTGTTGCCATTAGCACACAACAATTCACGGCAAGACATCTTAAAGACCATTTTCTACATATTGGGAGGTTTAAGAATCAAGATGTGTCTTTCTAATCTTAGAGATGGAGAAAAGAAGGTTCTTTTTCTTTTCTTAAAACGTGCCTTGTAACAAAAATTATCATGTTTGTTATTTTCAGGAACATACGTTTACATGGCACCAGAAGTAATCCGATGTGAGCCTTATGATGAAAAGTGTGATGTGTACAGTTTTGGGATCATACTGAACGAGCTACTAACTGGAAATTACCCCTATGTTGAGACAGAATATGGTCCCACCAAGGTAATATATCCTAGTCAATTTTGTTGAATTTTTAATTATATAAATGTTTAATTGATTAGTTCAATGTTAATTAATCTCAATTGTATAGGAAGTTGAAATGTCAAATTTTTTTTTTTTCTCTTGAAACCTTTGATGTTATATTATTAGATTGCCATGGAAGTTGTGGAGGGTAAGCTTCGACCTAAGCTTCCACGTGATGATGTTGATAAATTGGGAGAACTTATTGACCTTATTTGTCTTTGTTGGGACCAAACTCCATCTACTCGACCATCCTTTGCCACAATCACCCTTTGCCTCAAAAGTTATGCCAAGAAGAAAATCCATTAATCTTGAGTTTATTATATTTATTTAATTATTAACCATCGTTGTGACCATTGTTCTGTTTTTATACACTCGATAACTTGAATAAATAAATTCAAGGACTGTGTTTGTTGAATTGATATTGAATCAACTTAATTTTACCGAATTGCTTATAAAATAAACATGAGTTTGTAGTTACATGATTTTGGCTTAGTAACAAATATTAGAAAATTAATACATAATGTTGTTTGATTGTTTTTAGTGTGTGCAATTGCCAAAATGATTTGAGTGGAATGGAGGTATTCGTAGACACTCATTTATCCTTTTTCTTTATTTCCTTACATTTTCTTTAGTTGAGTTGTAAAAATGGAGCGAAACATAACAGAATATTAAAATATGAAAGAAAATTTTGGAGTTTTGGTTGTCTCTCTAATCAGAACATAAAATTAAACAATGCATTACACATATTGTATGTCGACTGATTAAAATTTAAAATCAAATTAGAGATTCTTCTGAATAAGAAAGAACACCGACGAATTTTTTTAATAGTTTTTATTACGTTCACAAGAATATATTAATAAATATTGCTAGTATTTTTCTAAATTTAGTTGACTTTTTTGTTTTTTTAGGACCTGTGACTAAAATTTCTTTCCTTGTCAAACATGAAATTTGGTAATCGAAAAGAAAATTAGTGTGCTTGGAAATAAAATAAAAATTCCTGATTAAAAAAATAGAAATATGGTAAGATAATAGATATAAATAAAAGAAAATAAATTAAAAGATGTATCATAACTTCAAGCTTTGTATGTAGCCATGGTTTTAGAGACACAATGCAAGGATCGGTGTTTTTACTATTATGAATATATGAGTTGTTAATTTAGGTAAAGTTTGAATACTTAATCTTTTATTTAAAAAGGTTATAAACAAAAAATAATAATTATCTAAATTTCATTTCTACAAAACTAATATCTCTTTGAACTTCTAAAAGTCCTAACTTCTCTTTAAATTTCTTTATCTGTTTCTCAATTTTGTTTTAATCCATATACATCATAATGTTTTTGGTAAAGAGAGTAAGACTTATACCCAATTAAAATTTTTATTAGACTAAGTTTTTCTTTCCTCTTTTGTGGGTGGGTTGCATGTGAGATTGAGCCACATGTGTCTTTATCAGTATGTGACTAATTATGAACAAAGATGAATGCTAGTATGTGGTCTTGGTGATGTGTTTTATTTGCCAAATTGAGTCTTTCATTAATAGGGATTAATAGGGTTTACTGATGATTACTTGACTTTGAAAAAAAATGTTAGAAATCAAATTAACAGTTCAAGAACTCACAGTTAAAATAAAGATGAGAAATGAGAAAAAAATTAATAATAGATAATAATAGAATTTTACTATCGAAATAAATTATAATACTCTCTTTAATTTTAAGGAAAAAACAATAATAATATTCTCTTTCAGAAGTAAAAGAATTCAACTACTATGCAATGCATTAGTAGAAAGGATAAAGAAGAGATTTGGAGTAATAGAAAGGATAAGAAAGAGATGTGGAGTAATTTACAAGATAAACATTGTGCTCCTTTTATAATAGGAAAAGTAAGCATCAACATATAATTTTCCTAACGTGAGACTTCTCTTCTCACATGTCACACTCACAGTTAAAATAAAGATAAGAAAAGAGAAAAAAAATTAATAATAGGCAAGAATAGAATTTTACTATCGGAATAAATTACAATACCCTCTTTAATTTTAAGGAGAAAACAATAATAATATTTTCTTTCAGAAGTAAAAGAACTCAACTACTATGCAATGCATTAGTAGAAAGGATAAGGAAGAGATTTGAAGTGATTTACAAGATAAATATTGTGCTCCTTTTATAATAGGAAAAGTAAGCATCAACATATAATTTTTCTAATCATCTGTCATAACATCTGGCTAAGTTCTTCTTACTTTATCCTGGCTTATACTCTTGCATGTTGAAACACTGCAAGACTTTCAGTAAGTATGTCATAACATATGCTATCTATCGCCGCCGTCAAAAGAGACGGTCGGACTGACGTGATGATATTCCAACTTCCGACTTCGTGTTTTAAAATGTGACGTTACAACGCCTTTAAGTTGTCCAATAACCGGGTTGAACCTAAGACCGAAGTTTTTGAAAAGGGTTTTTATGGAGTCGTCACCGATGTTTTTACCGAAAGCATCAGAAAAGGAAAAAAAAGGAGGCAGTGGTTTTAAAAAACCAACTTTGGCTGTTATAAGCAGAGTCGGGTAAGGGAATCAGTTACGTGTGGGGAAGGTATTAGCACCCCACAACGCTCATTTCGAATTCCCTATGATGGGTCGTTTATCTCATAAATAAAATTTAAAATGACGTTTTTACCCTTTTATTTGCGGAATTTAAAAATAGTGACTACATGGCCCTAACAGTTAATGTACAGATAAATGTAAATAACAAAGCGGTAAAAGAGAGGGAGAAAGTGAAGAAACTTTCGAAGCAAGCTTTCTTGATTAATTCTCTTGAAATAGGACGCTTTTTGGCAGTTCTTCACTCTACAACGTCGGTCGCTCTTTCTTGCAACCTTATAAAATACTCTTTAAGAACACTCAGAAAACTCCGGAAATGCTTCGAAGGGGCTCTAGGAGAAGAATTTGAAAAAATGATAGAAGGGAAAGTTGAAGAACTGTGTGAAATGAAGGGGAGAGTGCCCTCCTTTTATAGGGATTCGCGTATGTCAGGTCGAGACCGTCGTCTCGCCTGGCAAGGTCGAGACCGCCGTCTCGCCTACCAAGGTTGAGACCGTCGTCTCGCCAAATGGGACGGCAGTCTCGCCTTTGGCAAATGGCAAGACGGTCGTCTCGCTAATCGAGAAGGCGGTATCGATTTGTCAAATGGTGAGACGGCGGTCCCAACCTTTCAGGTGGAATTCCTTATTTTTTTCGTACAAAAAAAAACCTTCCTACTCTAATATGGGGCCTAGTCCATCTTCGAATTGGAGGTCTTATGCATTTTGAGGCGAGGCAAGATTTGGGGTCTACAGACCTTCAGCAAGTATGTCATAACAACTGACAAGTTCTTCCGTAACTAATTCTTCTTATAAAGAAAGCCAAATTTTCCTATATTTTATGTCTTGGTAAATTTGCATCTCGAAATTTATTTTAATGACTATGAGAATTGTCACTAATAAGATTCGAACCCAGTACCTTAGAATTGAAGGTTGATACTTCAACCACTAAGCTACTAAATTTTTTTAATAATAACTTACGAATAAATTATATTTATATACAAGTAAATGTATATCCGTGTAAATATATAAATATAAAATATAAATATATTTATATATTTACCGACGGATATATCCATCGGTAATTACTCATTTCCTGATGATTACGTATCCGTCAGTAATTATCGATCGGTAATTAATGATTTTCTTGTAGTAAAAATATCAATAGCAAAATAGAAAGCACGTATCGTGACATTTGAAGATTGGAAGAATTATACAATGATCTTCCAAGGTAGTTATAAATTGTTCATGTTAAGTATGTAGAGTATGAAAGGTTAGTGAGTCTGACTAATTTACTTGTTCTTTTATTATAAATATTCATGTAATTGTAAACATAATTAAGTGAGAACTATCATCTAGTACAATTGTAAACATAAATAATAATTTTGTAAAAAATTGATCATTTATTTAAAATCCTAATATTTTTAACCCAGGTAAAAATAATATATATATATATATATATATATATATATATATATAATTTTAATTGCGTGAAAGTTTAATTTTCATGGAAGAATATTTTAATAAAGATTAAGAAAATCTATTCACAATCAAACATGATTCATAACAGAAATTAATATTTTAATTATTATTTTTTTCAACTTCTCATATTATTATAACATAATTTAAACTTAAAAATATAATTTAATTTTTTAATAACATTATTATTTATATATATTATTTATACAAAATTTATATAAAAAATAATTTATATAATATTTGATAACTTATAAAAAATATATAATAGAAAATAAATAAATTATTGATTTTTTGAATAATATATTTATATAAAGAAATAATTCAATTGTAAATAAAAAAAATGGCATAAAATTGTTGAATGGAATGCGACTTTAGTTATCTAGAAATATAACTAAAGTCATGTTATAATTATAAAATTACACAACCTAAAGTCATTTCAGGATGATACCATATTTGCACCAATATTTCGGCACCTTGCATGATTTTTATGTTAAAGTCGTGGCTCGTTGCACGAATTTATGTTTAAAAATAAAATAAAATAAATTTTGTATTGAAATTATTCTAATTAATGTCATAAATAATATATTTTAAAAAATTATTTAAATGAAACTTTTTTATATTTACTTATCTAACTACTTCGTATATAAATTTTAATAAGGAAAAATAAATTTACTAACTAGATATGTTTCTTTTTTTATTTCTCTTTCTTCATTTACTCTTTAATTTTTTTTCTCTTTTTCCTTTTTTTTTCTTCTCTCGTTTCATCATCGTATTCTTCAATTAAAAATAATATACTAAAATTTGATAATATAAGTTTTTAATTATTATTAAAAAATAAAAATATAATGATGCAGAAATACTATAATTTAATATATTATATAAGAAAAAATATTATATGATAAATTTGAAATGTTATAAATATTATTATATTATAATCATTAAAAAAATATTTATTTTAATTTAATTTTTAATAAATATTTTAAAATATGTAATCTAACTAATTATCATAACTCAACTTAATTATTACTATATTAAATTATTAAATAAAAATACATTTAAATTATAAATATTTGATATTTTTTAAATTAAATAATTAATTGTTTATTATGATAAAATAAATTTAAATTAAATAAAATTATTTACTTAATAAATAAAAACATTTATTATTATCATCATTAGTTTAAATATTTAGTTAATTTTGTATAGTTTTAATGTTGTTTTTAAAATATTTGTTTTAACATATTTTATTAAATTTTAATTAG